CAACCGTGTCGGAGCTTCGACTCATCCGAATGAGATCGGTGAGTTCATCGTAGAAAGCTTCCTTTTGGGTATCAGAACTGCAATTGGTCGGTGCATATGCCAATGCAATGAACAAAAACCTTTTGGTGTTGCTTCCATTCCGGACGCTGATTAAACCCTGGAAACCAACTGCTTACAAACGACTACTGACGGGGATCCAATCGGTAAGAGAGCACTCAGCCATGTTACCGAGTACAATACCTACCCCACGCTGGCCTGCAGAACGAGCTTCATCGTCTCCTGATGTGCGAAGAACGTATCTCGAAGACAACTATGCAACGCTCGAGTGGCTCATAGTAGCGGTATCCTGTGGTCGAGACTCCGATACGCAGGAAATATCGATACCTAAGGATTCCATGGTATGCGCCAGACAAGCTTGTCGACCTACCTGCGTCAGGGTCCTTACGTTGAAGGCCCCCAGATCCATTGATTGACGAGGCTTTAGAATCTGCAATTCGTTTGGAAATACATTACCTACAGTGCTATTTAGCAACGACCTTTGACGAGCGACATCCAAGTTGCTTGAGGGACTATTACAGGTCGTAAGGGCAGGACAATGGAGAGGGCTGAATACTGAAGACAAAGAATTAAACAAAGGTTGGGATATCTGAGCAATAGCCCATTTATCATTACACCCCCCGCTTGATGCAAAGGGCAGCGCGGTCCTGATTATCCTGGGCGACGACCGATGTAGTATGTAATTAGTTGTTCTTTGTGTATGCACTGGGGTTTGGTGGACGGGTACTGTTAGTGTCCAGCTACTAAAGAAAAGAACGACTAGGGTCCTCCACCAAAGCCTTTCGATCTAACAAGAATGTAACCGCAAGGCAGCGGGTGAAACGAAGTGGATGCCCATTTACTTGGAGCGATTACCCCTCCACCGTATTTTACCGACTGAAATGCAAATTCTAGTCGAACCCCCAACCTGGAGGACCGGGAGACTGAACTTCGCCTGACCTCTACCGATTGACTTTCCCGATATGAGTAGATCTTTGGCTCGACAAAAGCCATGCTATGTAGCTCGTTGGGTCACGTCAATGTGCAGCTTCGTCGGTGTGGGCAACCGCGAAGTATGCCGTGCCCAGAAGTCTTAGGTACCCATTTAGAGAACTGTCTATTTCCTCTTCTCACTCCCATACCTTAAGAGATGCATCCTGTTTGCGCCACCCATCGGATACCAATCAGTGTTCAACTAATGAGGTCAACCACTCAAGCTATCCGATTTTTGAAACCAAAATCTCCTTTCCACTTAGCCGCATTTAATGTCCACACACTATCAGATTGGTCAAGAAGCCGCCTTAGCTAGAACCCTTGAAACCTTCTATTTAGATGTATACCGTGTTTCCGAAACACGCATACAAGACCACTTCAATCTCCAGATCCGACCTCTTCCTCACGTTTTATTCTCCGTGTGTCAGGCGGTTCGACATCCGAAGCTCGCGGTGTTGCTGGTGTTGGAA